CGATTTGTCGACTGAAGACGCCACGCTTCGTAGAATGAATGATGGGAAGCGTGTAAAAGGCGCCTGTGTCGTCATCGTCGTCGTCACCGGGAAGCTGTCGTCGTGAGGCATCTCCATCACGTTGATCCCCCTGACCGCCGGTGACCGGCACCGGTAATGTCATCGAAAGGCCAAACGTTCCATCGTCGGCCGGTAGCTGAGGCCACGCAAGCGCAAAGACAGCGAGGCATAGAAACAGAAGGAATGACAGGGCCATCGCCAGCGACGGCGAGCAACGAAGGTCGATGCTCACGGCTGTGGCGACAGCATGGATTTGACCGGCTGGCGCACGCAGACAAGTCGACTGTCGTAGCGTAAAAGACAGAAGGATCAAGGGCTAAAGGATTGCAAGCCCAAGTCGGGAAAAAAAAAACCCCCCAGAAGCAAAGGAGAGACAGCGAAGGATAGGCACGATTGATCAAGAGTCAGCCATCCAGATGGCGACGATGAAGCAATCGCAACCCGGCTTGAGGGCTGGCAGCTCACGGGGAACAGACGGGTAGTAGTATCGTCTCGTGTTGGCTCCTGTCTGTTCTCTGGCCAATCCTTCCCCTCAACACATCAAACACAAGACAGAACCCTATTCTTGGCATTTGATGTCGCAGTCGGTGCTAAAAGAGCATGTGGGCATGATTCAGCACGGCTGGGCACGGGGAAACTTGGGATGGGAACGTAAGTAGCCGGTCGCAAGAGATCAGAAACGAGAGAAGGAGACTTTACTGCCCCTCTTGGACAATGCCCAAAGTTCTTCTAAGCTCCCGGTATAACCCATATGGCTGTCGAGTAACGGGATGGCACGCGACACCTTGCTGTCAGTCCTTTGTTGTCAGTGGCCCTTTCGGCTCCTTGGCCCCCAATGCGAAACCTCGGATGCCATCTGGAAACACGGATCGTTGTAGATCAGACAGGGCACAGACGGGGGCCCCTGGCTGCTGACCGAAGCGATATGCTGTAGACACTTTCCGGTGAGTCGGTGGGCATCGGTCAGCGAAGAGTATCCACACGAAGGCAGCAGAAATCCCAAGCATATAAATTATTGAAACCCCATGCGTCTGGATCATGCAAAAACGCCGTTCATGGCCTTTGCGTGATCGTACACCAGCGTCTTTGCCTCCTCATCATCCAAGAAGATGGTGAATCCGTCGTCGTGGTTACGTCCCGACGAGTATCCAGAGAAGCCGAACTGCCAGAACATGTCCGATATCTTCTCCTCAATCGAGATGGCCTGCCACCCACCCAACACCTCGATCCGTCCCTTGTCAGCCGTCTTTCCAAGCTGTTCCTGACGCGCCTTGTCCGTCATCCAGCCGTATTCCTCGTGCACCACCGGCTTGCCCGCTGTACGGCCCGCCTCGGCGTGGTCTCGGATCCACTGGTTTGTCCATTCGACCGTCTTGCTCCACCAGTCGGGGTACGAGTGGAAGACGCCAAAGTCAATATTCCGCAGTTTGAGTTCGCCATCAAAGTCGTTGCCGTCGCCGCCATTGTAGAAGTGATCGTCCGACTGGCGATTGAAAGCTCCCTCACCACCTGTGGCCACAAGGTGGTTTGCGTCAACGCTCTTGATGTGCGTCGAGATCTCGTCTACCCACTCGAGCAGAAGTTCCGGCGTGCAGTCGTCGCTCGAAGGCAGGTTCCTCGTGCCATCGGCCGCACAGCGCAACTCGTTGGCGACCTCCCACGCGAAAATGGCTGGTGAGTCGGCGTACCGGCCGACAACCTCGGAGAGATATTTCTTGTACGCCGCCTTGATGGTCGGCTGACGGTAGAACTGTGTGCGGCGTTGCATGTCAGTCACGTCACGGTCACCATACCGGCCCTACTGCTCGCCAAACTTACATCGTCGTGGTACCGGAAACCGAGGTTCGTTGTGTACACGTCCATGCCGCCGTAGTCGGCCCAGTTGTTCGTCAGCGCCACGATGAGCTTGATGCCCGTCTTTTCCGCTGCCGCGACCACCTTGTCCAGCGGCGCCAGGTTCACCTCGACCGCTCCACCAGGCGACCACGTCTGGAACACCGTTGCCGGGTCCTGCTGACCGTAGCGTGGAAGGCCGTTCGGGTCATACGTCGAGTTGGCCTCGTTGAAGCCCCACGTCCGGAAGACAGTGAGTCCAGCGTCGAGGGCGGCCTTCATGCCGAGCTCAATGTCCGCTTGTGTCTGAAACCATGTCAGTCAGTCGCCGATCACCACTGCCCAGACCAAATGGACAGATGACAGGTCACGTACGTTGCTAAAAGGCCAGTAGTAGGCGTTGCTGCCGGCGAAGATGAAGTCCTTGCCGTCGACCGCGAAGTGCTGCCCGTTTACCGAGACAAACTGCGCCGCGGCCTCACGGCCAGCGAGGGCCATGCCCAGCGAGAGAAGCGTTGAGATGCGTTGATGCATGGTTGACGATGATCATCGGCGTGTCGGTGGATAGCTAGAGCTGACTGGGGAAAAGACGAGACGCTACAAAGATGACAGCCTGTCGCAAGGTATTTAATGTTTTCTGGCATTTGTCGATCGTCTCGTCCAAAGAACCACTAAGGCTTTGCCGGCCCGAGGCATTGGAACCCGTCATCTCCCCATGATGCGCTCTTCACCACGACTGACCCCTTGCCGGATCTGCCACTGCGAGATTATCCTTCGGCGATCGACAGGCCGTCGTGCCGGGAGTGCCCCGGCTACGGGGCCACCTAGCTGGATTCGACAGCGGCTCGCCCGCATCCGCTGTGCCGGACGTCATGAGAATGGCGGACCCGCCGACGATCTCCCCCATTGAATCTGATGCCCCGAGGTTGATCTGCCCTTCAATGCGGAGGGCATGAGCACATGAGCACTAGGTGCTTGGCTTCTGGCGTGCTTGGGGGCAGGACGCCTTCCGCATGCCCGGCAACGCCAATAGAACGGAAGAATAGTAGAATATAAAACAAGACAGCCCGATTCCTTGCGCGAGATTAGTGTCGACGTTTGAGATGAATGGTGGAATCCGCATTTCATCTGGATGAAGCGCCGGCGATGGAGTCTTCCCCACACAACAGCATCTAGCTCGGCGGCCCATCCCGGCAATCGACGGCACTTGGACTGGGGATGCTCGTCCCTTCTCCATGGTCGGTTTCTGCCAGATTGGCGGGGTTGTTGGTTTGATGAGGTTGTGAGTTTAGGTATGAAGGAATCAGTGGAGCTCATCGGCTCTGATCAACACCATGTCCACCTCTGGAAATGGATGCCGAGGCCGATCGAACTTGCTGGATAGAGCATTCTTTCTGTCAGAGTTTCTGGCCTTGACATCCACCAAGCGTCTGTAGGGGTCAAGGAGCTGTATGCTAAGATAGGTCGTCTACGGTGCCTAAATTCACAGATATGAGGTAAATATTCCGGCGGCAACGAAGCA